ATTTCAGTTTTCGAAAAATAAATTTTTATTTTGATCAACCAATTGTTAACTGGACCATTTCGAAAATAGCGATAATAATTTATTACATATATTGAGTTCAGAATGTATTTGAGTTCTAACTGTCCTAACTCTAAGGGCAAAAGCTACCTCTATTTATATAAAATTGCCATCCTTTCACGAAACTATAATTACTAATCTCAAGAAAGCTCCAGAAATTTCTGTAATATCCCAGGAGATTCTATAAGCTATTTTGGCTAATGAGTTATTTGTGCTAAAGGTGTTTACCAGAGGTGGCGACTAGAGGTATTAACCAAAGGTGTCAACCAGAGGTGTCGACCTTATGTTACAATAAAAATGATCTACATCTGTTACTCGTAAATAATAGTACTAATATATAATGTTATACAAATAAAAAATCTAACTAATAAATTAATATAATAATGCTAATAAAAATATATATATAAAAATTAAGAAATAAGGTTAACAACGTATAGAGTTATGGGAATACTCTTAGCTCTATGGGTAATACCAGATAATACAGAAATCCAAATATATACAGATAGTAATTCCTCAATCAGTGAATTAAAAGATATACTGATGAAAAAAAGGGAAAACATTAGAGCAATTACAAAAATTCTTTGATCTTACAGACCATCAAAGAAATTATATACACAAAAAAGCTAAATCTCACACTTCTAAAAGTAGATGCTTACACAGGTGATATTTTTAATGAACAAGCAGACAAACTAGCAGGAGAGGGAGTTAATTCAGAATCAATATTTAAAATCAATTCAGATTATATCAGAGAACAACAATGTCATTTCAAATGGAATGGTGAAAGTATTGATACAGATATCAAATCTTTTATAAAAAAGAAAGAGGAGGTTGAATCACTAACAACATGGTTCACACAACATTATATTAACAAATGGCTAAATAAAAAAATAATGGAAGAAACTAATTGGAAATGGTCAGTTCAATCATGGCACAGTTCGTAAATCACATCTACTAAAATGAATACGAGGGACAGTGCATTAAGATCCTTTTTATTAAAATTATTGAATGAAGAATTATCTACAATGACAACCTTATACACACGAAAACTAGACATATACATCAAACAAGAATGTCCATTCTGTAGAAAATATAAAGAGACCAATATCCATGTCTTCCTGTGTTCAGAAAAGGGAAAAAATCTAAAAGTCACTTTCTGAGCAACAATAAAAAAGATATATATCAAAAAAAAAAGAAATAAAGGTTTAAAAGATCTAATGACAAAAATAATACGTGGACATTTTATGAAGATTAATCACAACAGACAAATAATAGGTACACAACTACACGATAGATTTGAATTTAACGATCTAATAAGAGGCCTAATTCCTAAATCCTTATATAAAATAATACAAAGTACAACAAATTCTATTGATATAGCAAAACAAATGATTATGGACATCTTTAGGATATGGAAAGATATATTATATAACAATTGGAAAATAAGATGTAAGGAATTCTTAGAATGGGAAAAAATAAATAATATAAGCGAAACAGATAAAAAAAGTAAAGATAAAAGATCATATATAGATTATATATATATAGAACAAAAAAAAATACTTAAAAGAAATAGGGATAAATATTATACAAAAAACTATAAGAAATATACATACTGTCGCGTGCCCAGTGCGACAATGTTCTGAAGGATAGAGAATCTTCTCTAACAAAAACTAATAAAAGGTTATGTAATTATCGTGTTATTTCTGATTGATCCTACTCGACCAATTATAGCAAATTACAGAGTTAGGGAAGAGAGTCAACTTAGGAGTGAATTCTTTATTGTGACGGGGTTTTTACAACACCAAGTTAGTTTGTAACTTAGCAAGGTGTAT